GACTCCCTCATTCGATCTAGAAATCATGAGACAGCTGGTAACAGCATCCCTTGATCTGTAACATCTACTTCAATGCAAAGATCCTTCGTTTTATTTACCAGATGACCAGGAATCGTACACTAGTTTGGCTGCAACCATGTCTTCCACCGCCATTCCTGGAACAGACAGAAATGTCGTTCAGTTTTTGTCAGAACAACTTTTCCTGGAACAGCCCAGACCCTGTGACTGGCAGTTTTTGAAAACATTGTCTGTGCTGGAATGCTCATCAGGGTAACACAGAATGATACCCAAGGTGAGTGTAGGCTTGGAAGGTCTGCGAAGGACAGAGTGGGGCAGGGACAAGATACTAAGTGAGAAATGTCCACCAAACACATTTTGAGTTTCTTTCAAAGTTTAGTTCACGGGTCATAAACCTTTCTGTGAAGGGCCAGATGGAAAATATTTAGGCTTTGCAGGCCCTATGGTCTCTTGCAATGAACTCAGCCCTTGTAGTGCAAAAGCAGTCATAGGATAGGTAAAGAAATAAGCCTGGCCATGTTCCAATAAAACTTTCTTTATGGACACTGAAGTTTGAATTTCATATCATTTTCATTTGTCATAAAATATTCTTTTGTTTCCCCTAGTCATTTAATTAGAAACCATCCCTAGTTTGGAGGCAGGACAAAAACAGGTAGTGGGCTTAGTATGGCCCACAGGCTATCATTTGTTGACCCTCGGTCTAGTCCAAACCCTGCATCCTTCAGCAACTCAATTTATCTTGTTGTTTTGGATACATAACTCAACCTCATTGGGTGTATGTTCTCAAAGGACAGAGGCTGATTTATTAATTCTTGTAGTCACCACTGTACCCAGTACAGAGTCTGATACATAGGAGATGTTTAATATGCATCTGCTAGATGAAAAGATGTGCCGATAAACCAATCCCCAAAGCAAGAAAACAAACATTGCTTAAGAGGGTGGAACAGACTTCCATAGTATCGTCTTCTGAAGGGGTTGCTGACTTCTGATCTGCTCTGAACTTGAAATTTTGTCACAACTGGATCAGTATAATGTCTTTGAACCAGGCATTGGGTAAAGTTTATACTGCCTTTGCCTATCTCTCTGTGCATGAGAGACTTTTAAAATATTTAAAAGCCACCAAGGCACAGAAACTGACTGGCAAGAATGCTAGGTGGTCAGAGCCCTCTTAATAATGTTCTCCCAAGCATGAGAGCTTTGTGTGCTTGATCATAGGAAATAGAAAAGATCTTGAGAGAGGGGCAGAGGGGACAATCGTGAGGGGCTCAGGGCAGCAACTATTTATCAACCAGTTTGGGAGTGTATCAGTATTTTAGGTGTATTAGCTGACTATCAGTTCTATTACCATGTGTGTCCATTTCTTCAGACCTGGTAGGGTGTAGTTGCTGGGAAGAGGAGCAGATTGGCTACTGGGAGCCTGTCCCTGGTTGTGCTTCTGCCTGCACAAGTCTAGTGGTAATGGGGCTCCCATGGAAGCCCTTCTCAAATTAGCAAGTAGAAGTGTAGGGAAGGAAGGAAAAAAAGGGGTCTCCAGTTATACTTCCTGCATGGATCTCTTTTGGTGGGTCTCCTTGCCATTTCCCTTAAGCTCCCTGTCTTACAACATCTTTATCCCCTGAAGGATACCTTCTTCTGACTTTCATTTACCTTATTAGTACTTTCTTGGTTTTATTTAAATTCAAGTTAGTTAACATACAGTGTATGATTAACTTCAGGGTAGAATTTAGTGATTCATCAGTTGCATATAACCCCCAGTGCTAACTACATCACATGCCCTCCTTAATGCGCATCACCCAGTAACCCTATCACCCCACCCACCTCCCTTCCAGCAAACTCCAGTTTGTTTCCTATAGTTAAGAGTCTCCTATGGTTTGCCTTCCTCCCTGTTTTTAATCTTATTTGATTCTTCCAACTTTTATTTAGCTCGAAGTGTAAATGATTTATTGCTGATACTTGCTATGTGCAAATTGTTTTACGCACATACACACACACACACACACACATCACTGAATTCTCAAAAACATTGGCGATAACAGGTGGTAAAGAAACTGTGGCTCAGACAGGTGAGGTCCCTTCCCAAGGACGCATATCCAGGGACTGGCACAGAAGGGAAGCCAACCCAGGACCACCCAGTTCTAGAGTTCATGGGCTTACCCACTATTCTATGAGCCTGGCCATGTGTGAATGATGAGTGAATCATTGTGTGAATAACTGACCCAAGTGATGGATTTCATGACTGAGCTATGGAGTCCAGTGACTCATTCCTCTTTCCACCAATGGGCTAACCTGCCTTGTGCTCTGGTTGGATGTGTGCCCTGGGAGCTATAGTCCTTACCCAAAGACTTGAACACCGTTGTCTTGTCACAGTGTGCTGGCTTCACTCCCTTCACTACTTCTCCCAGCTCAGCGAAGATCTCGGCCTGTGAAATGAACATACACTGACCCAGGCCATGGAGCCAATGTCCACTCCAGCCAGCTCCTGAGGCAGGGCAGGGAGGGCATTGAGAACCAGGTAAGGGAAAAACCTGACAAAAGGCCATTTATAAAATGGCTTCCCTCATTAAATAAATAAATAAACAATTTTTTTTTTTGCATAGCATCTGCCTTTGTGTTACCATGAATGCAGAGATATAAGTTTGTGACCAGGGGAATGTCCAGCCAAGACAATAGGTCAGTGAGGAAATAAGCATGTTCTTATCTGAACACCCATTTTGGCAGCTCTCTTTTTTTCCTATGCTCTGATTACAAAAGAATACGGCCAGAAAGTGACCAACTCCAGTCCTATTTTGTTGGCCACATTGGGAAGGTTTTCAGGCATTTATCTTCCAACCTTACTGCCTTGTAGAACAGCTTGATCTGATGGAAAAATCCATCAGGCTGCTCTCTCCAGGCAAAGGGGACAGGAAAACACATGTCACTACCATAATGGCCACATTACTTCAGAGGGTAAGATAGGGTTGAGAGATGTTTAGGAGCTGTCACACAGCCCCCCCTCCAAAGAAGTGGGGGTGACTGAGGTCTGGGGTGTGACTGAGGTCTGGAGCTGTCCAAATGGAAGGGGAGGTTAATGAAACCTTGGGATCCCAGTGAAACCAGCTGGACAGCAGCCCACCGGGAAAAGAGGCTCACCCCTGACAATAGGACATCTCCAGACTCTTTCAGAGCAGCCTCCTGGGAGTCCACATACAGCACAGCCTGTTTCATCAGCTCATCATCCAGCTCTCTCCAATCGGGTCTGCTGGCTCCGATGGCTGAGAGATAGTAAAACATACCCTGAGCTCAGAACTAGCAGCAAGGGACACTACTATGTCAAAGAATAGAAGAGGGGTAGGGGAAAAGGAAGTGACATTTGATACACAGGAACATTCAGATTTGGGAGTCCTTATTTCCCAGTGCCAACCCCTCCCAATCAGCAAGAATAAACACTCATCAATAAGAATAATGCCGGTCTTTTTTTTTCTTTTTTTGCATTTCATATCAAGATCTTTCTAAAAGATTTTGAGGCAACTCAGCATTTATTGGTTGCCTACTAGCTGTGGGATGTTTCACACGTATTATTTATAGTCCTCACAAGTACACTTCATGTCTGATTCCCACTTAAAATATGCACAGAAGATCCAAGAAGTGAAGGTGCTCACCACGGTTATGTATCTAATAAGTATACCTCCTGGCTCTGAGTGAGCCATGCCTTTCATACCTCTTCCATTTATCTGGGGTAGCAACTTCTTCATAAGAGCCTTGGAACAGAGACATCACTTAACAGCTTATTCATACCCTGCACTCCTCCATCATCTGTCAATCTGCTTGCTTTTGAATCATTCTCATTCCTCACCCCCAATCATTTCTCTCTTAACTCATGACAAAAGAGCTCAGGGCCAGGGAAATGGAGAAGCCCCAATAAAGAGGAAACTGGCTCCATGCTGGCACCAAGATTTCACATCCTTTGCAGAGCCCAGGAGCATAATGAAGAATCCAAGGAATCATGCCTCCTGGCACTGGCATGTGAGATAATGCAGAAGCTGCCATCAAATGCCTGCAGGGCCAGGCAGGTAATGAACAGGAACAAAGCTGGTCAGAGGGACTGGGTTGGACATGGTAAAGGCCCAAGTACACAGAAGAAAGCAGGCCCTTGTAAAGACAGCAATCATCCTTCAGCTCCAGCTAATTGTGGCCATGTGAGAATGCAGGGCTGCTGTTAGATATTCTCCTCTTCCCCCTCATTTTTTTTCTTTTTAAAGAGAAGCAGGAAATCTATTTGCATGTGTTATTTCTTGATTTTTGGAGCATACTATGGTCCAAACAAAACACATCTGCTGGCTGGATCCAGCCCATGGCCAGCCAGTCTTTGGAAACCATTATAAAGCCTTAGCCCAACATAAGGCAGCATTTATATGCCTTCTCACACTGTGTCCAGTTTTCTTTACTTGCCCCCTCTCCTGCTGTTGTCCCCCTCACTCTAATTTCAACGAGAGTGGTGGAAAAATGTCCTTCTTGGAGGTCATTTGTGTGGGCGAGTTCTATAGAACAAAAGCACAAACTAAATGAAGCTTGTAAATAAATCATAAGCTGGTGGGAAAAACCCTAGCTTCTCAAGCCACCTCTTCTCATTGCCCTTGTGTCTCCCCACAACCCCCACCCTCTCCTGCCCCAGTTCTTCTGAGCAGGGTGAGTTCTCAAAGGGTTGTGTGAGGCTATTTAGGGAGATGGAGGTGGGCCAGGCAGCAAAGGGAGGGGGCCTGACTCAGAATGGGTGCTGGCCTTGCTTCAGTGGAGCAAGAATGGGTGAGGGTCAGACCCCAGCTGGGGTGGGTACGCAGGCAGGATGAGGGAAGTGCAGGGGAGGGTGGAATTGGGTCTATCTCTAAGCTAAGCTGCAAAGTAAGGGAAATCTATTGGTATTTCCCTGTCAACTGCACTTGTAACATACTTCTCTGAAGTATATTTGATGCCTCTGTAAACATACAAACCAATTTTGCCTTTAGGCTAGGGAAATAGAAGAGACATCTTGCCTCAAAATCAAGACAGCCCTTCCTGGGGATTCACAGTGTGAGAGAGATTCTCTATTGTTGGCTTTGAAGATGGAGCATCCACATTACAAGGAAGGTGGGTTGCCTCTAGAAGTTGAGAGTCGCCCTAAGGAAACAGGCACTCCTGTCCTACAATGTAAAGAATCTGCCACAACCACCTAAGCCTGGAAGAGGGCTTTGAGCTCTAGATGAGATAGCAGCTTGGACAACACCTTGATTTCCTCCTTGTGTGAGCAGAGGACCCAGTTGACCCATGTCCAGACTCCCGAAACCATAGAAACTGCATGATAATAAATACATGCTGCTTTAGGGTTAAAAAAAAAATCAAGCTTGTCTTGCTGAAGATTGAGCAATATCCATTTCACCAAGAACCAGTTTCTCTTGATTTCCAAAGTCCTTCCAGAAATGGTGTTACTGTCCACAAAGCCAGAACTGACCCATCTCTTGCCTATCTACCCCCGGGACCCACATCATAACACCACTCGCACAGGCTGAGAGCTTTGCTTGGCTTTGGCCCATTCCTCAGATATGCCACACTTTTGTCTCCTCCACAGAACTTAATCTTTAGCTGGAACCATCAGCTCATCTATTTATTTACCTGTTTGTTACCTATTTCCCCTCCCTAGAATGTGAGCATCAGGAAAGCAATGACCTTGAGTGCTGGTTTATTTTGGCCTGCTCAGCATCTAGAACAGTGCCTGGCACATGGTAGGCATTCAATACACATTTGTGAGTGGATGCATAATCATGACACTTGGCTACTGCCTGTTCATCTGCCAATGTGTACAGAATTCTTAGCTTTTGAGTTCACACCATGTGCTTGTCACTAAAACACAGGGCACTGAGAACATGTTTAAATCCCTAGTATTTGGCTGCTCGATCACCAGATTCCAGTCTTCTTATTGGAAGATAATATAGAACATAAGTTAAGAGCTTGGGCTCTGAGGGTAGATCACCCCAGTTCAAATCCCAGCTCTATCTCTGAAGACTTCTAACTTTGGGCAAGTTACTTGATTTCTCCATGCCTCGGTTTACCCACCTATAAAATGAAGGTTGTGATAATAATAGCTCCTACCTCATAAGGTTGTCGTAAGGACTGATTGAATACAAATAAAGAATTTAGAACAGCATCTGCAGTAGTAAGTATTTAATATAGACTAGCTCTTGCTAAAACCTCCAGAGCCATTTGAGAATCTTCAGAAGCCCAGGAACTCTTATGTTTGGAGTCCCACATATCCGATCACACATATTAAAGAGCATCCACATGGCACATTGAATGTCTTGTGCTACAATTAAAAAAAAATCGGGGGGGAGTTAGTCTAAGTATCATTAAGAAAGAATGAATCATTTAGCTTTTGTGATTTAAATTTCTTTTTTTTTATGTTTTTTTTTTGCATTTTTTTATTATAAATTAATTTTTATTGGTGTTCAATTTACCAACATACAGAATAACACATTTAAGAACTTAGCTGTGACTGACCATGTGTCATAATGTTACATTTTATAGAACTTTAATTAAATTTATTATAGGTTTCAGGTTTGTGACTTCTGTTTCATATTTTTGAGTGAATATTGTTTTTCAGGGTTCACATGTTTCTGAGGACCTTAAAAGGCCTGCTCATTTTGCATGAGTAAAACATCACTGCAGATGCAGCTGTTTGGTCCAGCCTAGGGACAACTCTGGCCACTGCCTACCCGTGGTTTATGGAGTTACTCTGCTTACCATTGATATGAGCCCCCGGCTTCACCCATTCACCAAACAAAATGGGCTCTGTTGCCATGGTGACTGTGATGATCACATCTGCACCCGTCACAGCCTCCTGGACTGATGAACAGACCTGTACCTCTCCTTGAACTGTGTCTGCAAACTTCTCTGCATTTTCTTTGGTGCGGTTCCATATCCTCACCTTCATTGAAGGGTAACAAGAAGGACATTGGTGCCATGATTGTTTGACTGTTTATGTTTCATCAAGCCCAGGGGTACCAGGGGAAAGCTGAACCACTCTGGGGTAAGGGCTGTGGTTGTTTACATCACCCCCTATGGAGAAAGAGCATTTGATCAAGGGTACAGCATTAATCAGGGAAGACACCTGACCAAATATTTGAAAATGACCTTCCTCTACTCCTTTCTCCTTGCAAGAAGTGGAGGCAGTTTTCCAGTTCTAACCAGGGATACCTAGCTTCTATAGCTTAATAGATACTACTATATAACTTAATAGCAGAGCGAGCTCTGGAGCTAGGCAGGCTTGGAATCAATCCTGACTCTGTCACTTTCTCCTCACTCTTGAAATGACTTAACCTCATGCAGCCTAAGTTTTCATCTTTATGAAATTCACATGATAAGCGGGTACAGTGAACATAATACTCCCACTTTGTGTTTGAGACTCTGTAAAGGACTCACAGCAGATGTGGGATTCTATGGCAGTGCCGTGCATAGAGTAACTGATAGAGTAACCTGATCTGTGAAGGGTATGTAGGGGGTTGAAAATGAGAAGTGTTGGAGAAGTGAATTGTGTAAGGGATGAAAAAGTCAAGAGTCGTAGCTACAGTTAAAATTCTGGCAGATGCTGGTGGGAGTAGGGTCATTAGCCCCACCACGAGGTGGGGACTCACCAGCCTGCTTAGCAGACTTCCATGTGTGGAGTGGAGGTTGTCGACCTTCAAATGAAAACAAGGCCTGAAGAATCTCTCACAAGGAAACATAAGAAATACAGAAGTAAATGTTATGTTTAAGTAAGTTCATCAACCAAGGTAAGAAACAATATAGGATACCCAGTCAAAAGAGAATGGCTACCCATTGCACCTTCCTTGATAAAAAATTATGCAAATAGGATACAAAAGATAGGTAATCTGAAAAGTGATGGTGTTAGAACATTTCATGAAAAGACAGCATATACAACTGGGTATATCTAACATGATACTTTACTTTAAGAAATTACTTTATGAAAAGCTAATGAGAGGATTGGAAAGTGTGAACTGCTTATTATTGAAAACAGATAAAAGGTACTTTTTTTTGTTCTTCCTTGTAGTCTACATTTGCCAGAGCAGAGGTATTATTTATTATCATTAAAAAGTCATATTTTGGGGATCCCTGGGTGGCGCAGTGGTTTGGCGCTTGCCTTTGGCCCAGGGCGCGATCCTGGAGACTCGGGATCGAATCCCACGTCAGGCTCCCGGTGCATAGAACCTGCTTCTCCCTCTGCCTATGCCCCTGCCTCTCTCTCTCTCACTGTGTGACTATCATAAATAAATAAAAATTAAAAAAAATAAATAAAAAGTCATATTTTAAGGGGCATCTGGGTGGCTCAGTTGGTTTAGCAGCCAAATCTTGATTTCAGCTTAGATCACGATCTCAGGGTTGTGGGATTGAGCCCTGCATCAGGCTTGCACTCAGCGGGGAGTCGGTTTGAAGACTCCTCTCTCCCTCTGTCCTTCCCTGCCCACATTCTCTCTCTCTCAAATAAGTAAATAAATCTTTTTTTAAAATGTCATATTGTGGCAGCTGAGTGGCTCAGTCTGTTAAGTGACTTCTTTTGGCTAGGTCATGATCTCAGGGTCCTGGGAATGAGCCCCTGAGTTTGGCTCCCTGCTTTTCCCTCTCCCTCTGCTCCTCCTACAACTCATGCTCTCTCTCTCAAATAAATTTTTAAAATCTTTTAAAAGGTAAGAATAAAAAATGTCATTTTAAAATCTTCCCTATCCCTCTCAGACATACAAAAAATAAAAGTAGCATCAAATGGTCCCATCAGAAGTGGGAGTCATGACTGAGGAAAGGTGGACCAACACCCAGGCTGTAGAAACAGGGTGCTGGGCCTCTTGCCTTCTGGGCCTGGTTCTTTGTGGGTCCATACCCCTGAATACCAAAAGACCCCCAGATTATCCTAGGAGAAGCATGGAGAGGGACCCAAAGGAAAACTGAATGTATATATAATGGATATAATATAATCCTTTAACTGCATAGGCTTGCTATGTCCTCTGGCATACCCTAGGAATAAAGAAACTAGAGACAGGTGATTCACGTCTCTTTGCCTCCAACAGGACTTCTGGGCAAGTCATTAAAAGAATGGTCTAGATCTGACTCTCAACCTAACTATTTTAGAATAGCCCACATCGTTGCAGTGAAGGAGTATAGATAAATGCCCCCGACTGCTCCCTCCTGTCTTCTCCCCCAACCTTCCCTGGACTTACCTCCTTAAAGAAGAACTGCTCTGTGAAGACCTCGTAGTGGCTGTAGGCCTGGACCCCAGCCCCCAGGATGCACAGCACTTCACTGCTGGGTGGTTTCAAAAACTATTTGAGAGAAACAAGGTGGCAAAGGTCAAGGGAGAGACAGCAGCCAGGTGAAGAGCAGGTATGGTTTGAATATCAGGTGTCTTCCACCCTATCTTCAGCTCCTCACTATCTCTCAGACAATGAAGGAGATGTCATTTTGTGTTTCAGTTTCCCCTCTACAGAGTGCAGAGAGGAGGGAACCTTCACTGAGCACTAATATATGCCAATGCTTTATAGCCTCATGATCTCATTTAGTCCAACCAATGACCCTGTGAACTAGGCACTCCTACTTTTACCCTCTTCTTCCAGATGAAGAAATTGGGGTCCAGAGAGGTTAAGTAACTTGCTCAGAGTCCTACAACTATGAAATGGCACGATGGAGCTCCAAAACCACATCTTTCACTCTCCAAATCCCACATTCTCTTTCCTGTGCTACTCTGTCTTGGGGACAGAAGCCACATTCACCTCTCAGAGCTCTGAGTTACTTCTAAGAGCTACCTAGAATCCATGGGCCCTTGTTACTCAAGGTTCTCAGCTATATTTTCTGAGCCCACTTTTGATCCTTTCTCAGCCTCCATCTTCCTTTAGAGAGTAATGTAGAGCAATTGTGGCAGCTGCTGGGGATGTATGTGTGTCTGTTTGGGACTGGGGTTCTACAACCAACTCAAATCAAGTGTCACCTCTCCAGGAGGTCAAGTGAGAAATCACCACTTCACAGTACTTATTTGTTTACAGATTTCTTTTCTTTTTTTTCTTTTTCTTTATTTTTTAAAGATTTTACTTATTTATTCGTTAGAGAGAGAGAGAGAGAGAGAGAGAGAGAGAGAGAGAGAGAGAGAGGCAGAGACACAGGCAGAGGGAGAAGCAGGCTCCATGCAGGGAGCCCGACGTGGGACTGGATCCCGGATCTCCAGGATCAGGCCCTGGGCTGAAGGTGGCGCTAAACCGCTGAGCCACCAGGGCTGCCCTCTTTTCTTTAAGGATTTAAAGATTTTGTTTATTTATTCATGAGAGACACAGAGAGAGGGGGGCAGAGACACAGGCAGAGGGAGAAGCAGGCTCCATGCAGGGAGCTTGATGCAAGACTTGATCCCGGGACTCCAGGATCATGCCCTGAGCCAAAGGCAGGTGCCAAACTGCTGAGACACCCAGGGATCCTGGGATTTATTTTCTTGTACTGGTCTGTATGCCCATGAGGACACAGACTGTCTTATTTGCACGGATTTGGCACCTATCCACTGTTTTGTATAAGATATAAAGTGGGTTCCTGAACCTCAGCACTGTCTGAGAACCTGACTGGTTCCACTGACTGGGAACCTCTAATGTCCCACTACTGACATTTGGGCTGGATAATTCTTTATTGCCCGAGTTGGTGGGTGGACTGTCCTATGAATGCACAGGATGTTTAGCAGCAGCCCTGCCTCTATCCATTAGATGAAGCATCACCTACCTCCCCTAATTTTGACAACCAAAAATGTCTCCAGATATTGCTAAATGTCCTTGGGGGTGGGGGTAGGAGGCAAAATCATTCTGGGTTGGGAACTACTGGTATAGAGGACATCACTTGCCCCTCAAGCCATTCATATTAAATAAGACCTTCTTTTGGCCTTTCTCTATTTCATTTAGTAAAATCCGAGTCCCTTGGGCCTGCTCTTTCTTACAATGTTCACTATTGTATTTCTGAAATGTAATCTTAAAAGTGACAGTCTCTTGAATTATTAATTAGTAGCAAAAAAGGAGTCTTAGAAATATGAGCAAATGTTCATCTCTGCTTTAGCTACAGAAGGAGAGATACCATTTTGTGCCATAAACTATTGTTCAAGGTATCTGACTTGAAAAGTTTTATCCACAAAACAAGCAATCTTATGCTCTTAGCCAACAAGGAGAATTAGGTGATTTTTTCCTTAACTAAATCAATTTTTATTTCTGTCTTCAGTTAATATGAATCTATTCTTAGAAGTGTACTGGGCTGCAGAAATTCTTGCAGTGTCCTCTAAAAGTAACCTTCCACTTCTGAAACTAAATCTCTAATTCTGATTGGTTATCTTGATAATTTGTTGCCTTGGTAATGTTACAATTGGCATCCCTCTCCCTAAATAGTATAACATTTATAAGACTTACTAAAAAATAATAGGACTAGTGGTACTTCATTCTTTTTCCAAAGCACGCAGATAATTAAAAGCAGGTATATGAATCTGCTAGGTTTCTTAGGTAGAGTTTGAAAGTGTGTTTCATCTGCATTTGCTAATGAACAGCACTGTGTAGTCTACCCCTGCCATCTTACCCAGCCCCCTCTCAGGCCATGCTCCCCTGCACTTCTTGTCCTTCAGCCATACCACCTTCTTTGTGGGTTCCCAAGCACATTTGCTTCCATCAACCACAGGGCCTTTGCACAAGTTCTTTCCTCTTCATGGAATA